AAAAAAAAAGAGTGATTGATAGGAAAATAAGGAAGGGGTCGGAAAGTCCCTTGTTCCCACCTATACCACCTCTTGTCCCCTTGTCTTTGTGATTCTTTTCCACGTTTTGGAAGAAACAAGAGTCATATTTATTTCTGAGTGATTCTGGAGTTGTTCCCCCTCCCTCACCCTTCCCAGTTTGGTTGGTTTTCTTCCTCTTCTCATTCATTTCCTTGACAGCATTCACACCAGAAGAGCTTCATCCACTAGTCTGTGGTTGAAAACCAGACTCCTTTGGAGGAGACTAAGCCTAAAGCCATGCTCCAACACCAAAGTAGTACTTGAGTCACAATCAGAAGCAGGGCTACACCACCAGCCAGTCTTCCAGTGCACAGCTAATACATTCCTTTCAGAAAGTTTTAAATCACATGTGCAGCAGAGACATTCAACCCAGAAGTCCAAACTCGATTTAATTAAAAATAAATCCTGTGAACCACATGAATTGGAGTTGTGAGGAGCCTAAGCACGTATTGGTTCGGTTTACAAGATCTGTTTCTATTGCACTGAATTGCAGACTAATGTAATGTATATAGTACATGGAATGTCTGCCAAGCCTGCAGCCTCCCTTTCAGATGAATCACTACGTATCTCTGTCCTCTCTAAAGCTATTTCCACCAAGTATATGGAAAGTTTGAGTGTCTCTACAGGTTCACAGTTTCTGGATGGACAAAAGACCAGTATTTTCATAGAAGCTGCATTTCCTCCGAAAACCAGCTAAAACTCATGGTACTCATGTCGAGATATAAATCCATGTCTGCACAGTGATATCAATAACAGTTCTCTGTAATTATGCCAAAATGGTTTTGCATTAAGACATTGTAGCTGTCAGCTCATATGTTTCCACCAAACGCGCACTCTAGGACTAAACTGAAACACTGCTTTTGGAATTTCCTAAACTTCTGGGGACAGGGACAGTCATTTGAATTTTGTATGTGCGTTTCATGAGGGGCTTAATCAAAACTCAATCAATTCCCACCTCACCAACTTTAGAAAGGGATTTAAATCCAGTACCAGATTTGGATCTGAACATCATGCCTGGGGGCTCATTTCTGTTATCAATTAGTAGTTGCTCTTGTGATGTATCAAAAGGCAGTAGCATATAGGCTGTTGTTTAGAGATGTACATAATGTAGCTTTAAATTTCATTGGGAAACTAAACAAAACCTCTGGCCTTAGGGCTGCATGTTCAAATACTACAGTCCCATAGTGCATTACACCAGTCAACACTTCTTTTCAAATACCACCCGCATAACAATTAACCTCACTTCAACCTTGAGGTCTCTGATTAGTGATGGCCTATTGTTTAAGTTCCATTAACATAGCCCCTGTGTTGCCCTATTCTCACTCAAATGGACTAATCAAATCAGTCACCAAGGACTTAAGCTCAGAGTCCAACTTCTTTAGTAAGCAGTGATTTTCAATTTAAGTAGAATGGTGGATGTCATCAACACGGTCACAATTAGTATAGCTCTGACATGGAAAACATTCTTAATGATCCCCAATTTGTGAAATATCAAGGGCCCCAGAAAATTGCAATATGAGAATTTCTTGTATACTAGAAAAATTACAATATCAATAGCGTAGTCAATGAATTACCTTGTACCAGACTAGTCTCTGAAAGGACAGAACCTCAATCAGAGTCCATTTAATTTCAAGAAGAAAATGCTGTTTTGAACCAGTAGAAAAAAAAAACATGTTACAGCATTTTAAAAATGTTATTTTTCACTATCCACACCACATTTATTATGTAAAAAGGAAAGCATTGTTTATTTTTCAAAATCTAGTTACAAAGTTGTTATTCTTGACATTCTTCTTACTTGGATTGCACAACTATGTTTTCATTCGCAGTAGTTGATACTTGCTGTTTCAATCATTTGTAATTAAAAATGGTGTAGTATTATTTCTTTGAATTGTTTTTAACATTGTCTTCTATTTCTGTCAAGGTAATGGATGATCTGAGCACAAACTTCTGAGAAGATACAGTGGAAAAGTCATGGAAAATACGAGTTGAATTTCACCAGTAGAATTCAGGGCCAAATCTTCAAAGGGGCAATATACATGTAATGAGTTACTGCCCACTTATCGGCATAGGTACCCACTGTGCACAGACAAGAAATTCTTTTATTTTCGTGCACATGCAGTTACTGCATGAGCAGCATGTGAATTTTCCAACCATTCAGATCTTGCTTTCCTTTGAATACGCAGCAAAAAGTCAAAGTGGGAAGCCACTGGCCATTGAGCAGGACATTGAGGACACCGAGGATTTTCAAAATGGAGCCTTTGTGGCAGATAAGAATTTGCTGTGATTGTAACTGGTAATTCCTATCTAATGGAAAAGAAGCTTTTTTATTTTTTTTTCTTGTTGTCTTGTTTGCTCGCCAAAATGCATCCGCTTTCTCAGTCAAATACTCTTTCAGACCATGGCAGAATCATGCTCTCTCATCTCCTCAGAATATGATGAAGTTTCTAGATAATGTTCACACGTAGCTTTTCTTTTATGATCAGCTAGAACATTGTGCACAGAATAAACATTGCCAGATGCATTAAATGTTTTATTTCTCTGCTTCAGAGAATGAAATTTGGCAGAAATATTCCCTAATTTAAATCCAGCTTTTGTCTGCCTCATTGCTTTACACACCATGTAGTGAAAGAACTGGCTTCACACTGCTCCCACACCACCAGTCCATCTGACTGACAATAGATCCAATCTGCATTACATGGGAGGCCATGTGAGCGGTCCATTCTGCTCCTCCATCTCCACCGACAGCTGGAACTGGACTTGAAGTAAATGCCAAGGGAATTTGCATGATAGTCCATTTGGAGCACATATGCTATAAATTCACCATTGCTGCAAAATGGCAAGCCATAGACCTCGTCTACACAGAAGTTACATGAATTTAAATTAAAACCAATTTAGTCTAAACCAGAATGAACTTCTGTGTGAACACTTGTAATAGTTTAAAATCATCTCGCTTCAGTTTATCTAGCATGGGTGGCGTCTCCCAACAGATGGTTAACTGAATGCGAGAGAGACGTAGACATTACCAAGCAGTCTCCACCTTTAATTAAAGTCACTTTAAACCCCACCCTTAGCCCCTTTGCTGGCAGAGACTCTGCGGAATCGGCTGGGGCTATTCATTCATATCTGTCATTCCGAATCAGGGGCAGATTCTCCTACAGTCCTTCTCTTCTTGCTTGCACAGTCAATCATTGCCTCCTCTTTGGAGGACTCCAGAAATGGCAGCACACATCACCCAGCGTTGGGTCAGGTTTGATCCTTCCAGCCCCTCAGTGAAGGCACTGGGGCAGTAGCTTCTGGAGTGGCAAAAGCTACACACATTCTCCAGCCATTGTTTTGGCGATGTTACCCCTGGGCACTGACCCCCGCCTGCGCTGCCTCCTGTTGCTCTTTTGTTCAAGGGGAAACTTGTCATTTAGAGGCAGATTATTAGTTTTCTTTTCTCTTCCCCCCAAGTTCCCCTTTAACTGGATCATCATCAGTTTTAGAAGAGTTGCCCCTTTCTAAAGAAAACAAAACAGAATAAACAACTTCTTCCCAGTGCCTGCCAGAGCTCTCTTCTTTTCACCAACATCCATTTTCTCCCCAGCAAAATGAAAGGACAGGGAGAAAAGACAGCTTCTTCCCTCTCCCGACAATGAAACAACAAAGAGCACAAACAAAATTAAAATTAGGCATTTAAGCTGATTTTCACCACTTAACTTTTGACATGTTTTTGCAAATTTCCTTCAAGTCCCCTCTGAAGATTCAGCCAATGAAACCACACTGAGTGGTGTTTCTAAGCCTTTTTGCATTAACTCCTGAAACAGCCCACGTGTTGTTTGGAGTGGCAAAGGCACCTTTCTGCTAATGGGAAATTCGGAGGCTATGACAGAACAAAGTATCTGTCCCTCTGGGGAGAAATCAAGGGTAAAATGCATAATTTTTCAACTTTATGTAACTCTGAAAATATTTTGGGTCTGATACATCCAAACTCACTCTGCAAAAGGATCTCCAGGTGGGTGATTTATTAGAAGTTAAAGCCGTTGCCCAAAAGTTCTGTTCTATTTTATGCCCACATAGCATCAGCTCAGCTTCATTGTCTTGCTTTGAGAAGTAATTGTTTTTCTCCCCAGAAATATATTTTTCTTCCAGTAAGTCTGCATCATATTCATCATCTGGAATGTATTGGGAGCACTGCGCTGGGCTGAGCTTGCAGCTGCTCCCAATCATAACCAATGCACTCAGACCAGACCTGCAAAATACTGGGCAGGCGAGGGTGGGACTGCCTGCCCCAGCACCGCTCCTCCTTCCCACGGTTGCACCCGTGCTCCGGTGCAACCGGAGACTTTGCCTCTCTCCAGTTCCTTTCCAGGTATAATTCAAAATGGCAGTTTTGATCCACAGAGCCATTCATGGTTTAAGAGCTTGTATTTCTTCAAGACTGCTTCTCTGTTTCAACATCATGTTTCACCTGGCAGCCAAGATTGGCTGCAGTTGCATGAGATGAATAGCAATGTTGACTGTAAAATACATGAGAGTTTGCAGAATGACAGGCCATTCTCAGTGGATATACAACACAGGAGCAACAGAAAGATGGGGAGTGTCTCATTTCATAGAGGAGAGAAGAAAAAAAGGCTTATTTTAATTTGAAAAGAATAATATTCTCCCTTTTTTGTAAAAATGTCAAGAAATGGAACCACTCCCCTGCAAATGTCTGCAGTAGAATTGGTGAGAATTGTCTATATGATTTCTGCCCATATTTGTATTGTGGGTTACACCAGCAGTAATAGCTTTCCCTTAGAAGCTGTTAGGTGCTTTAATGGTCTTACTTAGATTTGGAAAATCTAGAAAAAAAAAAAATCACATATACATGAAAATCATGAGATATTACCAGCATAGGAAATCATGTAAATAGAACATTGACTGCTGGAAGCAGAAAAGTAGAATCTCATTTAATAAAGCAATGAGTTTAATACAACAAAAAGAAAGCATGCAGTATGTACTAGGCTGCACATTTCTTCACTAAGAACTGTTCCCTAGGTCCAGAAGAAACCTTCTGCGCTGGTCTATGCAGATGTCATGAGATGAGAGTATGCCTTCATGGCTTTCCAATCATCCGGCTTCTCCTGGAATTTATCTCTGGTTTTACAGCCTAAGTGACAGAGGCAAGACACAGAAGTTGTTATAGTACACTCAAGAGATTCCTCCTTCTGTGTAACCCCCAGTGCCTGCTGCTCCAACCAATACCCCCTTTGCCTTTCCAAGGAACAAACAAGCCTCTCCATGTGCCTTTATTCCCTCTCCCCCCTTCCCATCTTGAGGTCTCTCACCTTTCTTTGCTGATGTGGCAGCCAGCCAAGGATCCTATTTAAACTAGGAGAAAACTAATTTTCTCCAATTTAACCAGATTAACCATATTGAGCTTAAATTAACAGGCTGAGTTATAATATACACCATATTGTCAATGGTTGTGATTTTACTGTAGGTGAAGATATACTCTGTGATTTCCCTATAGGTGGAAGGTCTTTATCACTCTGTCTTCTTAATGTAAAAGGAAATGTTTAACCCTTATGCCTGTAAGAAAAATGTTGAGTAGAGGACTTGAGAGCATTTCAGAAACAGAAGAGAAATGGAAAATTAGTAGCTTTCTCTATTTTTTTAAATAAAAAACATTTTTAAATAAAATTTTATGCTCAATATGGTGGTAACAAGCTGTCATATGACTTCTGTTGGGATCATGTTTGGAACTGGCCAAACTGCCCCTAGCCCTGTGTACACTGTGGTTCAACCTCCTGTGTTGCGTAATAAGCTGTGCCCATTGCAATAGTTTCAGCTGCATTAAGCCAGATAGGAAAAGATAACTGAATTGAAGAAAACACCATTTTTCCTTGCTTAGACGAGATGAGTGGAAAGGGATAGCGAACCCTCAGCACTACATATAGCAAGAGAATAGGAAACCGTCTGCTCCACCGCTGCCGGCTTTTCTGAGCCTAGGGACCTGAGAAATGCCCCAGGCTCCTCAGCAGCAGTTGCTAAGGAAACATTTTAGGGAACCTTTTTCATAAATTCATAGTAATCTCCATTTCTCAAATGTCAAGGCTAATGACTCACCCTTTGATTGCAAATGGGATTTACTACCACAGAATTGCTGGCAGCCTTCAAAGCTAAATTGTATTTGTCAGCATTTGAAGACTTTTAGTACGTTGGTTACCACTGCTCCCCTTGAGTGAGCAGAAAATGTAGATACATGAATATCTGGCAGAATTCCCTCAGAAATATTTCAATCCTTTCCTAAGTTTCCACATAGGAAAGAAGACGGGGATTGGTGTCTGCAGGGCTCCTGCATCAGGGAATCCCTGCAGTGGAGCCCACGCCTCCGGGAGTTTCTGGCCTGAGGTGCTACCAGGCACACACCCCAACAGTGGGGAGTCAGAACCAGCCTAAAGCCATCTCTGGGGAGGAGCAGTGGAGACATACATCCCTGCCTTTTCCCCCAGAGGTCAGTTCTGCTTGAAGACAGCTGGATATGCCCATGGATTTTGTACAAATCACACATGAATCACTGTCCTCAGTTTTCCTCTGATTAATAGCTATGCAAACCTAACAAAGCAGTTTTACCCCTCACACATTCAGGATATCGCCTGAAAGCAGACCGAGAACCTGATACTACATTACTTTGTGCCTTCACAATCTTTTTTCTGCCAAGTGCCAAGTTTGCAAATGCACCCTGAGACTTCCTTCTTCAAAGTATTTGACAAACAAACCCAGACTTCAAGGATGATATCTATTGCTTTGAAGGCAATACATATTTAGAACAAGATTCTCTCTCAAGTAATACAGACCTCACTGCAGATGGATGTATTTCCAAGTTAAAAGCTTATAGGCCAGAATACAATTTAAAGAGTGGATACTTTAACACCTCGTGATTTAAAAATACATGAAAGGGTCTCAAAGAAATACAGACCTAACAGCAAATTTTCTGTAAATGATTTTTTGTAAACACTTCATATTTATATAAATCCATATTATAAATCCATTTGAACATTGGTTCATACTGTATTTAATAAATTTCCATTTAATATAAAAGTTACAAATATAATTTATTTTACATATCCTTTCTCCCTGGAATGGCCAGTCACTGGTATGTGGAGGATACCACTGATGAGACTGAAAACTTTGCTGTCCATAGCATTGCATTGTTCGATGATGCATTCCACGAGAGAAAAGCAATATGCACCCATTTAGGAATATGTACTTAAAACAAGTAGAAATGTCTTCAGAGGAACACTTGTATGTTATTTTGAAGTGTTCCCTGGTCACTTTGAACACTACTGTCAAAAACAAGCAGATGGAGACAGCACTCATCCAACTTTTGCTTTCTCTGGTTTGGGAAAATGTATCCCTCAACTACATTTTGTACCAGTCTGCCTAGAGACAGACAATTTTGCTTTCCTGTTGTGTCTGGCCACAGGATTTCACAGTGTAGATTTGCTCATTTTTCTGTTGGTGTATTCAGCCAAATTGCCAGAATATACATGTTCTATCCCAGGCCCAGGTGCTGAGAGAAGGCTCCATTCTAGAACTCTTTTTTGCCTAGAATACAAAAGGAGGAATCATTGGCTCTAACACTGGTATTTCTAAGGACATTTTTCTTTCTCCATTGATAGGCTTCGAATTCTATACTTTCTCATATAATTTTGCTTTTGATACTATAAAATGAAGTACTGCAAGTGTAGAGGTGGTTTTAGGCACTTCTCCCCTTCCTTAGTTTCCAGCTGGCCCTATTTAAAATAATAGCCAAAAAATTACACTTAGCTCAGAAAATAAAATCTCCAAAACTTGACTGAAAACATGTGGCCCCAAAATGTAGATGAAAAATGAACAAACATCTGCATTATCGTACTGTTTACCAAATGCGAAATCAAAGTCCAGTCTATGCAGTATTTCCTCTTTCTATAACCAAAACGTTCTCTTAATTATTACACAATTTAGCAAAAACCTGATAGCACATTATTTTAGTCACATTGAGTCTTCTTATTCACCTAATGATTATTTACATCATTTTCTGACCAGAAAAATCCTAATTTGACTAGGAGGATCTGACTTCTAGCTTTAGATTCACCAGTGCCTATACTTCTGCACCTGTATGCCTTATTTCCTCTGGAGTAGTCTGCCATGTCTACTGTACCATGTACCACGATGGCTCTGACAAACCCATGCTGGTCCTTTACTTGTAAATACCAGGATGGTACCTGCACACTTAGAAACAATCACATAGTTGTATGGGGCCATGGCACATGTGATTGTGATTTAACCTTTTAAAAGAATTGTGGGTTTGGCTCTATTAAAAATGGAAATCCTGTCTCTGGGAGGTTATGACCAATTTTATTCCCATATAGTAGATGTGAAATCCTGAGGATTTTGAAGCATTCTGTAGTTTTATTGTTTCTGAAATGCAACAACCATTAGAAAATCATCTAGGTAGATTAACACTTTGCTGTCTTGCTTTTTAGACCACTAACAACCTGATCTAGCAAAACAGTAGATACTCCTAATGCTCCCTGTTCGGTTCAAGCAGGGAATTTCCTCTAATTTTGGCAAACGGTATGCTGAGAGAAATGTTACTTAAGTCACTACATAGCCATAAATCTGCTTTGTAAATCTTGCACTTTTTGGGAAGCTTATTGCTAAAAGTTTTGCTTCAGAAGCACATTTAAAGGGGTTAGATTTAATAAGGTTAAAAACCATCTGAGCATTTTGAGACTACAAAGAAATAATATATCTGTAGTGTCCCTTGCGATAGATTAGAGACAGGACTTGGTTGCAGTAATGAATATAAATGGGATTCTTTATTAAAGCCACTGGACAGAGGCAGGACTGTAGCTTTCTGCTCTCCAGCTCCCAGGCTAACTGCACACGACCTCTGCTTCCCAACAGCACCAGCAGGTCTGTCCTAAGCCCTGGCCTGGATTTAGCAGTTTTGGAAGGGATTGCCAACGTCCATGAAACCGAGCTGCTTAAATTGTTCAGCAGCAGAAACAACTTCCAGAGAATCTCCTGCCAAGGCTTGCATATTCCCTACATTTGCATGCACGTGAATTAAACAATCAAAAGACTGGAAATTCTGCAACTGGGAATAAAAATATCCTCTGCACAAAAATCTTCCTTTTCCTTGCAAGTTTGAGGATGAAAAGAGATTTGAGACTTGAAAGCCTAGATATTAATGTTTTTTAATGCCATTTTAATTACAAAACTAACTTGAACAATAAATGTAAACATACAGTGGAGAAAGGCAGTCACCTCTCCAGATGCCATAGTCAGCATTACAGTCTTATTCCAGGTGTGGGGTTTTCTTTCATAAAGGCTGGACAGGGGAGTTAATGAATATTTATTGTCTTTCTACCGAGTCCAGAGCAGGCTCAAGGCATAGACAAAGTAAGTAATGTCTGATTATCTGCTCTGCTTAGGACCAGGGAGAAATGAACTGGCCCCTGGACCCTGAATAGCCCATTCCTATGGATGCAACTCTGCTCTTCCTCTTGCTGCCAGGCCAAGGCAAGTCAAGGACTTGTAGCCTACTGTCTGGCTGGCAGAAGGAGCAGAAATGAGTCCCCCATGCACTCTGGTTGCCTTCATCCTCCCAGGGTACGTGCAGGGGCTGCAGCGTAGAGCAGGGACAGCCCCATGATAGAGGTCAGGTCAGAAAAGGGATAGACTGAGGGTAGATGGTCCAGGCTGGGAGGGGAAAGCCTCCCTCATCACCCCCTCCTCAAACCTCCCTGTCTCCTCCTGACCTTCCTGTCCCCTCTCTGCAACCCCCAATCTGCCACAAAGATGCATTCTGCCTCTGCTGTCAGCCAGCCTGTCCCAGCCCCAAGCGCCCACCCTCAGGCAGTTTGTCCATGCTCCTGCTTCAGTTTCACAGACAGAGCCTACACTCCCCCAAACCTTCAGGGGCTCGGCCACTGTTGAGATATTAAACTCAGAGGTGTGAATGCCCTTTGAAACATGTCCATGAAGCTATTATCAGACCTTACCATTAAGGCTGCTTTTAACCAAGGAGTGGCAGACATGGTGCCTTTTCCTGATTTTTCAAGAAGCAAGGGAGAACGCTTTCCCTGCTCTTGGTTGCAAATTCAGATGAGCCACCTG